TAAATAACTAAACTTGTGATTTTAGTACTGTATACAAAACTATCTAGTTTGTACGAGCCTGAAGGTTAAAAACAGCCATTGTTTTTGGTTCTGTTATAGAATTATAATTCAGTCTTACCGTACCAACATATTACTATTTAAAGTACTGTTCTCTCTTACTTCCAGCAGGAAATTTAACATTTAAGGTAAACTTCTGAAAATTAAATGTCTTTTTGTTCATCTGTTTTTCCTTACCTAGAAGAGAGTGGTCCCAGAGGGGTTCTAAAGCAAGGTACTCCCCTAGGCCGCCTTTTCCTAAAAGCCTGCTCTATTAATTTGCTTTCAGAGGCAGGGTCTATCCTCCAGAATGAGCCTTTGCCTGGTTCTTCCTGGGAACGTGGTACTTTGATGAAATAACGATTCAGAGAGAGATTGTGGCGTATTGAATTCTATGGAACATAAAAAAATATGTAGAATTCATATATATTTTTACTAAAAAGTCAGAATGTGGCCTAGTGCAGTGGTCTGTAGTACGGGAGACTCAGGGTTCAGGTCTCCAGTTCCTTAGGGTAGCAGGTCCCTGGTAGCGCTATAAAAGCAGCATACTAAGCCTGGGGAAGGGAGCCTTGGCATTGCTCAAACCTCTCCCAGCAATTAAAGAACAATACTAACAAGCTCCTAAGGGAATCTCATTTCAATCCTCTCGCAAGAAGGACAGTAGTCACAACGCATGGTTTCAAAAGTTGTGTGGACATAAAGCAGTGGATAAAAAGAAGAATTAGTAGTATCTGAAACACCATACCTTCCTCCACTGCTCAAATGAAAGTCAAAACTGTTCCCATTGGGCTGCTAAAACATGCTATATTCACTGATTCTGGTGCTGATCTTGTACAATAATACTCTATCATTATTTCATAGTAAGGAAAGGAAAGGTTTTATTAGAGAAATTTCAGATACAGCTAGATACTTGGGAGTTCACCTTTCCTTACCAGAAGCCACACAAAAGGAGGAGGATTCTCTCGGCAACTTCAGTTCCCAGTTATTCTTCCCCAAAACAGGGAAAGATACCAATCACCTGACAGTCTCAACAGAGACCAAGGATTCAGTGGGCCTAGGAAAACTCTGAATGGCGGTAGGTCCAAATGCAGTTCTCTAGGGTGATCATCATACCATGCTGTGGTCTGCATATTACCATATGCCCAATATGCAGTGGCATGAAGACTAAAATCTGTTGCCACTTCATAGAGGACTTGGATGGAAATGTATGAAGGTACCAGTGTTCTGATGAAAGGGGAAAATCTATCGTTGACTTTATATGCTTCATATATATACACACTATATATATATATATATATATATATATATATATATATACACACACACACACACACACACACACACACTGTATATAATACATATACACACACACACACACCACTGAGACCTTTCAGAATTTGGTAACTCAGGTGGAGGGAAACAAATACAACCATTCAAGTTTGTACTAACTTTAACTGTCCAGTTCTGATCCACTGAATGTTAGCACTGAAATATCTGGGGAAAATTTTCATAACATTCCAAATCAACACTCTTCAAAATCCTCAAAATTTAATCCAATCCTAGTCACAGGTCAGCCTCAGATGCGATTCATGACCTTGACAGCAGGCTTAGAGAATTTAGGGCAATGTTACCCTTGTACAGTTTCTTCAATGCAATCTGATGCATACAAAAGCTGTTTCCCCTGCCAGTGACAAACAGAACTAGCAGGTGGTGTGAAGAATATAAGTTTATCAGTTGTATTTGTGTCTCCATCTGCTAGAAGAGAAGATTAAATCCAACTTTTCTAGATTGGAGGAAAAATACACGACAGAATGAGTCCAACATGATGGATCTTCAAAAAAAGTTCTAGGATATACATGAATATATCTATAGCCTCATTAGGTATTGAAACAATTATCTAAAACATAGCCTGAAGCATATAGGTTAGTTACCAAAATTGTCATCTACTGCCTGAAGCCAGAGGCTAAGAGTATTGTTCACAAATGAGGTAAGTTACCTACCATTATGGCAATATTTTACATGACTACTGACCAAAACAGCTACTCCGTTTTATTATATTTTCCTATTGTTGTTATGCATTAGTGTAATTCTTACTTAATTCTCTGAAACATAAGGGGTGTGCTGTGCCTGCCATTTTGTTTTTGCAAAGTATTATGCATCTAAACAGTCAGTGATCTAACACCTAATTTTAAAACTAGAGGCCATAATGCACATCTGTTTTTGCAAAGTATTATGCATCTAAACAGTCAGTGATCTAACACCTAATTTTAAAACTAGAGGCCATAATGCACATCTGTATCAACCAACTAGAGTCTATGGAAAACAAGAGTACAATACACACAAATATAGATGTATTTTAGACAAAATTCTGAAATATATCTTATACAAGGCGTGCAAAAATATTTTAAAACCCAATTACTATTGTTAGAATAGAACTGACCATATAAATACATACACACAAACAGAATACTATATTGTGTGTGTGAAAGAGGGGAAAAAAAAACATACATAGCCTGAACAATTTACTAGACACCTTTTAGCCAGAGCAAGAGCTGAGAAGTGTGAGGCTCTCTGCCAGCCAAGTCCCTATTGAGAAGCCCATAAACCTGGTATCCTCAAGCTCCTGGGATTGAAAAGGGTACTGGGATTCCTACCAGGGTGATCCATCTTTTATATACCCCTCTTGCTAGTAGGTGATCAATCTGAAACGCCTGTCCGCCCTACTGCTGGGAAGGTGGAAGCATTCTACTTGTTGTGAATGTGAAAAGTAACTCTTTGCCACTACCCCTCCTCAGCTTGCGTTGGTTGTACCGTCCCTGAAAATAAACTCTGGTATCTGCCTCTGTTGCAGATAACAACTTTTCTAAGCAACAGAAGCAGTGAAATTGACATTACATAATTGACATGGTGATTTCAAAGGCATGCACAGGGTTCTGAAGAGCAGCAGAGAAACTGATCAGTCCTGCTAATTGCTCTCTGCTGTCCCTTAGTAAAACTAAAAGCAGCAGCAGAGGCACTGTAGTTGTATGTCTGTGTACTTGGGGAAAAAACAGCGCATTGGTTTATATTCAATTGGTTATCCTGGTAAATGTTCTGGTTAGAAATTTGTTTATTTAAAAGCTTAAATTTTTGCAGAAATAGATGGATTAGCCTTCCACACTCAGCAGGGATAGATTCTCATCAGCAGTTAAGTGGGCAAATGGAACTTTCTAGTCACCTGTGTGAGCACAATCAAAAATGAGGTAGTCAACAGTGCAGGATAAAGCAAGATATGTACACCTGTAGCTAAGGAGCTGTAAGGTCAAGACCACAGCTTTCAACAAGCTTGTATTCCGAGATTTTGGGATCTTATTTTGGCTTGTTGAGGTAACACAAGCATGTTAACGCAAGCAGAAATTCTAATAAAATATTAATTCTTTTATGGCAAAACCACACGTAAATCCATTTCTACCTATGCTTATATTTTTCTCCAATAGAAGTCCTGTAAATTCCCCTATTGGAACTCTAGGGAATACTAAGGCTAGAGAATGATGCTGCCATAGTACACCTAAGGTCCTGCCAACCTAGAGATTTTAAGATTAGAAATCCATTACATATGAATTTATGACCCATTCAGTCCACCAAAAATCTACTGAAGGGCTGTCATGGTCACTTAATATAACCAGTATAAATAAAACAAGTTGACTTGGATTATTTACTATCATTCATTTATCATACTAATAGTCGTTTTTATTCATGACTTTTAAAAGAAATACTAGAAATGAAATTTACCTGCCAGCCCTTGTCTGCTGTTCTGTAGTATGGATAGTTTTTAGTTATGTGCGTATAAATTCCATTTAGTGTAAGCTGCTTATCAGGTGCCATTGTAATTGCTTGTACTATTAGTTGTGCATAGGAATAAGGTGGTTTTGAGTCATCCTATAAAAAAATAAAAGAACCCTTAAAATATTTGCCTCCATAAACTTTACAGTAGTATACCTCTTTTCTAAAATTACAAAATGCAATAATCAACTTCATTTTTTAACACTTCTGGATGACCTGAGGATTTAAAAAGGAAAAGCTAAAACCAAACTTACATCTTCCAGTCAGAAGGATTTAAGAGAACAGTAAAAATCAAAAGAAACTAATACAACATTTAACCAAGGACCACGAATCTAAATGCCTAAAAAACGATGAGCATGCAAGTAACTAAAAGCCAGTACAGACATGAAACTCTTCAATGGAGATCTATATTTTAAAAAAAAAAAAAAAAAAAAAAATCAAGATACAAGGCACATTGAACCACAAAGATCTCTGGCTTCAATCTGTTTTCAATTTGTAAATGCCAAATCATGTCTAAGTTCATATACTTTGGATAACAAATTTGCAACATTGGTACATTGGGCTCAAGGCTTTATTTTTATTTATGGTTTTATTCTGTGCAACATTTACCTTTGGGCTATCACCACCCGATGCTTCCTTGTCATTTTCTGACTGTGAATTGTCAGCCATTAAATGTAGGTCAGATGGTATTACACGACTCATTTTGTACCCTGAAGAGCCTGCACCACGCGGGCTAGATGGGCAGGAATTTGCAGCACTGTAGAATATAAAAAGAGGATCCTACTATTTTGTTATACAGTATATCACCACGTTATGTCTAATCAAATAGCTCTAGTTGTAGGAAAACTCACTAGTGTTCCCAGACTGTCATTAAGGGTCTGTCAGTATTTCCATTATAAATGCTTGGAAAATGCGATTTATAACTTACTGTAAGAATCAAAATCACTCCAGGAAGAAACCTGTCAAATGAGGTTTCAGCCTCTCTCTTCAAAGAAAGAAGATTAACTGTTTTGTAGGCTATACTGTATTTATGTTAGCTTTGCTGACAATATGTACATTTTAGTTGGAGGTTCAATCTACTTATACAACCAAAAATTCTGGATACTCGTCTGAACCTCTGATCTGAAAGTTTTCAGAAAATAGGTCTACGTGAGATTTCCACCACGTGCTTGTTCTTAGCTTAGTCAGAAACACTGATAATGTATCTGGACAAAACAGCATGTTTGTGAAAATATAATAAAGTTACAAGCTCCAAGAAAGAGTTCTGGGTGATTCTTATTTAATCAAATATATACTTCAGGTACATTGACTTAGAATTATATACAGACACTCAGCTGTATGAACACTATAAATCCTCATGTAACGTAATAATCGAATAGGCCAAAGACTGGGGAGATGACGACATAAGTGGAAAAGACACCAACAAAACAGTAGCCAAAGGTAAAATTTGATAATTGGCAGTTTGCTAAGGCTCATTAGTGTTGGAAAGATATAAAATATTAAACTCTAAACTTCAAATGAATTTCTATCATATCTTTTGAAAGTTTATGTTTTTTTCCACCTTTTATAGTGCACCCGGAATCATAGCTGTATAAAGAGCTATTCTTCCAGAATTCCCTTTTGTCCCTTTACAGTTGAGAAACAGTCAGTGAGCAATCATTTCACTGCTTACATATTTTCATGTAAACCAATAAGCCCCAAAAATGTTTACATAATGACAGGATTCAATTCTGCCCTCAACAGCATAAAAGAACAACAACACATATATGAAAATAAAAGCAGGAATCTGAGAAGTCTGCCAGGTCCCCATCCACTAGCCTTGTTACAAATCAAAGATACTATTTTAGATTAATCAAAATATATAAAATTTAAAACTTTAAGGAAAACTAGAGTTAAGGGATACCATCTGGACTGACGGGACAAAAAGTTGTATCTGCCAAAATTTGCTTTGCAAGCAGACAGGAACATCTTGCTGTCTCCCTCTGCAGTGCCTGCCATGTTCTTGCATGTAGACAGAGTAACATACAAAAACACTGTTCTTGAAGAGAAACTTCTTATCTCCACAATTCCAACATTTGAAGTTCCCTGTTGGACAGTCCACTAACAGTTAAGATGGAATGTTGTTAATGTTGTGTGGAACAGGCCTTGTTTTGAGGGTTAAGAGTCAGAGGATCAGCACTTTTTAAAAAGTGTTGGTCATTGCTGTGCTATGTAAGTTTTGCGCATATCAACTGACAGTATCCCTTTACTTAGCTCACTGTACCATGTATTTACACAGCAACACATATGGTATAATCAAAGCAAGTTTACAAATCCTCCACACAACTTGGTGAATTAAAGAAGAAAATGTCAAGCTAGTCAAATAGACTCAGAACTGCTGTGATTTTTAATGGTATAGTTTAATAGTTGTTTAGTAGCCTTGGGAGATAATTGCAACAGCTGAGATAATGCAAAAAGCAATGGTGAAATACTTCTTGAAATATTTATGAATGCAGTCATTTCTTGGGGAAGATAAATTTTTCCTGGTTTAAATAAAAAATCCAAGACTGCTATACTATCAAATCACTTTTTCCAAATGCACAATTTGCAAACACCATCACAAAACTGGAATCAAGATCTCTGCTCTTGTTGAGTATCAACAGATTTACCTCTGAATTTAAACTTCATAACAGGATCCAAATGTAAAGATCAACAGAATTAGACACACTAGCTTTATATTCCTTGAATCAAGCAGATCTACCAGAATCTGTGAGGAAAAGGTGGAATTTTCAAAAATATTTAAGTGACTTTGGTGCTTCTGAAAATTCTATTCAAAATGCTTTTATAATAGTTTGCCAGAAGAGCAATTAAGCTTTTTGTTTAATTGAACTTCAACCCAACAAACAAGCCAAATGATGGCTGCGAGTCTCTAATCAACACAGCTAAACTGACAGACCCAAATTAACCGCACCTACCAAAACATTTCTCAACACTATACTTCTCCTGATGCTATACTGAAATACTATAAATAAGAAACTTAGTTTACTGACTGTAGTCACTAGTCAGTAAGAGACTTTTTTTAATCTTTAGCTTTCAAAGTAAGCATTGCCAAACTGCTAAAACATATTTTTCTGCTGACCAACTTACTGAGGGCACTGGATTTTAGTCAGCTGCTTAAGAATAGCACTAACAATGGAAATAAAAATAGAAACTACATTAAAGTGTTGTCACAAGTATAATGAAGACCAACAAAGGCAAGAAAATTGTAAGTTAAGATTGATGCTTAACTCTTAAACTCACTCTAGTGTGTCCAAATATTTCAGCCACTGGGAAATGTGGGCTCATTCACTGCTCTAACCGTCCTAGAATACTAGGAACAAAAGGATGCATTCAGAGTACAGCCCTAACACAATTTTATTGCTTTTGTCAATTTAAAGTCAGACTTTAATGACAGTAACAGATTTGGATATTTATGTGAATAGGTAGCCACTGAAAAAACACAATGCTATAATTTTACTCCAAGGCTCATCTGAGGCTGCTCTGAACTCCAATGTAAGCATTATTACATAAGGAAAGCAACATCAAATGAACTACATCTCTGTACTGATTCTGTAACCATATATTACCCTACATGCAATTTTGCAAGTTTTAAATACCTGATAGTTCCTGTGGGAGATGGGAGAGGGCTGATCAGGTGCGCCATGTTGTCTGGAATGTTTATTGTTAAGGGAGAGATCTGGGGTTGCACAGGTTTCACTGGAGACTCTGGGGACTCCTGTTTTTCTCTCTTTTCATTGGACAGAGCTGTGAATGTTATCTTGATGTTTGTGCTGGGAAACCTGAAAGTACATCTGAAAAATAAAAACAAATATATATGCAACTTGTTTACAGGTAATACATAACAGACTTTTTTGCGCAACTCACAAGCAATACTTAACCCTGATTAAAGTAATAAACAGTGTATCTTGGGTAATGATTTGCAATTATCTTCATTTTACACACAGGCATAGAGATCTAGTAAACACTAGAAAGTCAATTTTAGACTTCAGAATACAAATAGAATTGTATTAAGTATATACATTATTTTAACGCTGTAGCTCTCTCTAGATTTCCTGTAGTCCATCTTGAGATGAACTGGAAATATACTCCAAATGGGGTATTATTTTGAAAACATCTGAACAATGACATCAGAAGGAATGGGTTTTGTGCATTAACTTGTAAATTGGTTTTTATAGTATCCCTGACAATCAGTATTGCCACAGAAAAATCTCAAACCTCAGTTCAAGTATACTGAACTGTCATTAACTACTTAAGAGAGCTAACAAGTCCTCCAACATCCATTCATCCGTAGCATTTTGTTCACTCTGGCCCTGATCCTGCAAACACTTATGAAGTTACTTAATTTTACTCACTGAGTAATCCTATTGTGAAACTACTCAGAGAAGTAAAGTTAAGCAGGTGCATAAACGTTTGTAGGATTAGGGTTTATGTAATTTCACTAGTACACCTCTACCCCGATATAACGCGACCCGATATAACATGAATTCGGACATAATGCGGTAAAGCAGCGCTCCAGGGAGGCGGGACGGGGCTGCGCACTCTGGTGGATCAAAGCAAGTTCGATATAATGCGGTTTCACCTATAATGCGGTAAGATTTTTTTGGCTCCCGAGGACAACGTTATATAGGGGTAGAGGTTAAAAGCAATTTTTGTTCTTTTTCTCCTAAAGTACTTTATTTACTATGCATACAGCAAAGCTAATGGTGCCTAACTGTAAAAGCAAGAGGTACTACAGAAATGAACAGTCATGGCAAATGTAGCTTTAATTTAGATTCAGAAAAATAGACTGTTTAAAACAGATTTAACACAAAAAATAGTCACTTATAAACAAAAAGTTAAACCATACATCTGTATGTTTGCTTTAACTGTTAACTGTTTTAAATTTGATAAAATCCAGTTATATAAATATGCAAAAATGTTTAATTTTTGTATATATTCATTAAAAACCCATCTCTAATGAACTTTTAAAACATTTCCTTCCCCCCTCCTTCATTAGGCAAGCACTACAGCATATAGAAATTAACCCAATTAAACAGGAGAATAGGCTATTTATAGTTTAAAGTACACAAACAGATTGAGCATACCTAAATTTAATTCTGTTACTAACCATGGCACCAACAAAAACCATTTCAGGTAATTTTACCTTTTGCTCATGATCAGCAATAATCTAATAAATGTTAGATGTACTGCTGCCCTCTCCTCCCTGGAAATCTGTCAGATATGCACAGGACTGAACCCATGTTAGCTATGCAAAGGACCCAATGTATGGGCCATATTTACATGCCCCTCACTGAGAGGCTTTGCCAATGACAATCTACAAACAAACTTTAGAAACCATATTGTGAAGTGATCCTTTTACACAGATCTACAGTAGAACCTCAGAGTTATGAACACCTCAGAAATGGAGGTTGTTTGTAACTCTGAAATGTTCATAACTCTGAACAAAATGTTATGGTTGTTCTTTAAAAAGTTTACAACTGAACACTGACAATATAGCTTTGAAACTTTACTAGGCAGAAGAAAAATGCTTTCCCTTTAATTTTTTAGTAGTTTACTTTTAACATAATACTGTACTATGTTTCCGTTTTTTTAAATCTCTGCTGCTGCCTGATTGTGTACTTCCAGTTCCAAATGAGGTGTGTGGTTGATCGGTCAGTTCATAACTCTGAGGTTCTACTGTAGTTTTATTAAGAAAGGAAACAAAGCTGCTTTGGAACAGGTGCAAGCAGCATTTGTTTCAAGTGTCACTATAACTTTGACACAACATTTAATGATAGATGCATCTAATGCAAACATGGACATTCACTGCTAGTGGCCATGGATCATGTTTTCCTATGTTACATGCTTAAAGAGTAGGGGGGGGGGGGGGGGAGAAGAGAGAATGTGACTGTGACCTTCCTTTCAATCTCATTTCATAAGGACCATGTCTGAGTTTAACAGACAACTTGATTCCGAAGCATGCTTGATGTACTAAATTGGGAACAGAATCTATGCCAAAACACTGCACATGGGTTGCAGCAGGAAAGTGAAAGGGACTAGACTCTCCCTCCTTCACTATGCAATCCTACTTAATTGTTTTTAAACTAACAGCCACAATGAAGGACTGTAGCTGAGAAATGTAGAAAAACTTGAGTAAACAGTAATGAAGACATTACTGCTACACCATAAAGCTGGAATTCCTTGCTCTTTCTGTAGAAAATAAAAATCTTTCCTCCATCATTTGTCTTTTCCTTAAATATCTGATAGAAGGAATAAAGTTTGTTTTGCTGGTCAAAGCCAATGTTATCCCAACCAACATTTCTCTCAACAATGACATCATCACTCTTCAAGAGCACACAAGTAGAAAGCAAAGCAAAGGCATCCATTTTGTCAGCACAGAAGAACAAGCCAGAATGTTTACTTTAAGTAAACATTAATAACAGAAATTGAGTAGCAATATTGTATGTTTGAGACCTAAATATTTAGACTTTTGTGGGATAGACTTTTCTACATATTTTATGTAACTATTTTCCAGATTCAAGTGTATTTACTCCTCAGTCTCAATGACTGAATACCTTGTAGAAAAGACTCATTTCAACTGAAGAGCAATACAGAAGCAGCTGTACATAACTTCAAGTGCTGATTCAGTGGTCAGACTGGTTATTGCATAGTAAAGGATACCATCTACTAATAAGCAGGCAATGCTTCAAAATGCTGCTGGGCTTTTACTGGGGGGTGGGAGAGAGGCTTCATAACCTAAACTGAAGTACAGGCAAATCCAAAGCCACAAAATGTGAATTCCAGGTCAACTTCAGCACAAACCCCCTCTTCCTACATATCTATCTACACTCCACTAAAAATTCTCCCGTCTTGTGTTGCCATTCTATCTTCTGATCACTTCTTGCCCCCTGGCCATCATAGACAAAGATACGGAACAGCTTCTCCCCTGCCAAGTCCAAGGCCCTGACTCCAAAAACTATGTTTGAAACCATTATGGCTCTCAAGTGTTGGTCAAGTGTGAGAAGATAGGAGCTTTGGGTAATCAAAGCTCTGTACTGGATATTAAACTCTGTGCCAAGCTTAACATCACTTGTTACAAGCTAGGTACTATATTTATACTGTGGGAGCATTACCAACACACTTTTCAACATTTCAAATGCTGGGCTCTGAAAGGATGGTGTTATAAGGAGGATATAATACGCTTCCAGCTAAACTTCTAATCTAGTTAAACATGTGAACACCTAAATATTTGCATTTCATCTTACTGTACCACTGAAACCTTCCTGCTCTATCACACATGGGAAGGTATTGCAGTTCACAATGAGAAATCAAATGGGTACATTTGGGATTGATCAAAAACACTTAAAATATTTTCAGATATTTTCAAACCACCCGTAACAAGGTGAAAAGTTTGTGTCATATTTCTAAGTGGTGAAAATAAATATTTCCAAAAGCTACATAACATAGGGTTACCATTCGTCCGGATTCCCCCGGACATGTCCGGCTTTCTGAGCTAAAAATAGCGTCCGGGGGGAATTTGTAAATGTCCGGACTTCCCCCCCACCCATGCAGAGCGCGCGCGGCTAACAGGGCAGCCGGCCGGATGGTGCCAGTTACATGGGGCTCCGACAGCCAGAGAGAGCCCCTCCTCCGCTTCCCCTGCAGCAGAGTTCACTCTCTCCCTCCCTGCATTCGCAGATCGCCTCTGGCAGTCTGGAGCTCCTCCCCCGCTCCTCCTCCACTACTGCCCAGCGTGCCGGGACGAGCGGCTCAGGCCATTCCTGAGCAAGTTCACAAAGACTTTAGGCGAAGGCCAACAACAAGGGGGCCAGGGGGTTGGAGAAGGGGCAGGGAGGTTTTGGAGGGGGCAGTCAAGAGACGGGGGGGTCGGGAGTTCGGGGGGGGCTTTCTGGGAGGGGGTGGATAAGGTTTTGGGCAGTCAGGGTACAGGTAGGGGGTAGGGTCCTGGGGGGCAGTTAGGGTGGGGGGGTCTCAGGAGGGGGCAGTCAGGGGACAAGGAGCGGGGGGAGGGTTGGGGGTTCGGAGGGGGGCGGGGCTAGGGCAGGACGGGGCGGGGCTAGGGCGGGGCTCCTCCCGTCCTCTTTTTTGCTTGCTGAAATATGGTAACCCTACATAACAACATGGTTTTACCAGCTCCAAAATTTGTAACTGATAGCATCCACTTTTAGGTCATTTAAAAAAAGAAGACTGAATCAGGACAACAGTACTTGTGTTGTATTTATTATTTACACAGCTCCAAATGGAGGACAGGTCCCTGCCCTAAAGCCCTTATCATCTAAACAGAAAACATACCGAGGACAGACTAGAGGGTGGGAGTAAGATGCAGCACACAATTTTTTTTATTCAAACAAATAAATCCAGAATGCATTGAGTGAAGCTGGGGAGGCCAGAGGGGTAGAGAAAATAGTGAATCCACAGATTGACTGTTTCCAATCACTCCTTAGGAGCAAGGACTGTCATTTACTATCTGTTTGTATAGCACCTAGCAAAATGGGACTGGGCAGGCATTACTGCAATGTAAGTGTTAAATAAATAAAAATAATTTCATAAGCTGCTAGAAAATGGTCTCATTAGAGGAGCAAATGTATACAGTATGGTTGTACTTGTCACATCCACATTTAAAGCATTCCCTCTTTGCTTCACCAGCTCTGTCCATACGGGGGGGGGGGGGAATTACTCACTTGTAAGTCCTCTTCTCTGAATTTATCACCTGACTGGATTCCCAGTCCTGTCTCAGCACCCAAGCATGAAACAGGCTAGAACTCCTAGCTCTCACTGATGTGTCCTTTTG